GGAGGAGCAGCCGCCAGATCGCAGCACCGGGATGAACCTCCTGCTCTGAGCAAAGGGACGGGGCTTTAACAGGACGCGTGGCGGATCCACTGGGCTGTTTGCCACGTCGCTGTGCCTCAGTTGGCCAGAGGAGACGCTCCCTTTGCCCACAGGTGGCCGGACAGAGAATCCTGCTGCCAGGATCTGGATCTGGCCAGTCTCGCTCTTAGCCGCAAGTGCGGCGTGGTTGGTTTGAGCCGTGGTAAAGCCAGGAGGCCATGGAAGGCTGCGCTGTGGGCAGCACCAGACCCCAGCAGGGCTGAACGTGTCTGGAGATAGATGTGTCCATCCTGTGCCGCGGGCTGCGGAGGTTTGGCTTAGGGGAAGCGCTAATGTCTCGAGCTTTGTTCTTGCAGTGGGAAAGCGAGTCTGCTCTCAAAAAGAAATGTTAAGAAGACCGATTCAGGGAAAAGTGATGGTGCCAACTATGAGATGCCAGGATCTCCTGAAGACGTGGAGAGAAACCAGAAGATCCTTCAGTGGATCATAGAAGGAGAGAAGGAGATCAGCAGGCATAAGAAAACAAACCATGGGTAAGGGCTGACAGAGCGAGGGGTCTTCATGCTATTGTATTGCGTCCCCTGCAGAAGGCTGTCCAGGAATCCACCTTGTTCCTGGAGATCCTGGGAAGACTAGAATCCACCAGGCACAAGGGTTTAGACCCTTTGGAGACTGAGGATTGCTTGGGGGCTGTAAGGGCTGTTTTTTCTGAAAGATGACTTGTGGCCATGGCGGGGAGGTTGCAGCCCCAGGGGAATCTCCCAAGTTGCTGCCATGGTTCCGAGGCGGGTAACACGGCACGCAGTAGGCAGTGTTGTTACATTAAGCGTTTGCTGTGTAGAAATGCCTGGTGCTCCTGCAAGGTGCTGATAGAAACGTAGGAGCTGCTGCACTGGAGCTGTTGGTCCTCAGTAAGCAGTTTAGCGCAGCTCCGGTTTGCCCAGCATTTCGGCTTGCTGGGAGTGTCCTCTGGGATGGCCTCATCTGCCTAGAGTGGAGCCAAGGACATGGCTGTCTCGGGAATCTCTCTGGAGTCAAGCAGATCTCCTGCAGGTACAGATCCTTAATCGTGATCTGATCCGTCTCCGGCAAAAAGCAATGCTTGCAAGGTGTTGACGAGAGGGATCTGGGGTCTTGTCCATACTGACGCAGCTGCACTGGTGGTTTCTTCTCTTTCTTGATGGTGGAGGCCATGGCGGGCTGCACTGCAGGTGCTGGGGCCGAGTGCCAGAGCCACAGGCAGTGCCAGGCCACCAGGAAGTCAGGTGGCAGGTTCTGCTGCTGGAGCTGGGGAAGGACGAGTGTGTCCCTGCAACGTCCCCTTCCCTGGAGATGCCGACCAGCGGCTCGTGGAGAGGTTCCCAGCCTGGGAATGTCAGCAGTGGGTGGGAGGGCGTCTTCTAGGGGAACATCACAAACGGTGGAGCTGCCTTTTGCTGGTTTTGTTTTTATGTGTTGTAGTCTTGATGAGAGCCCTTAAGCAGATCTGTGGGCTTTGTGTCAGGGTTGAGTTGCTCACCCTGATGTCTTGGGACTTGCTGTCCTGAAATCTTCTCTAGATGGTGCTCCCCTGCCCCTAGAAGCCACGCTGTAAGGAGCTTCCCAGCGGTGCCCATGTCCAGCTGCAGGAGCAGTAGGTCCATCTAGGAGTGACTGTGCCTGTGTGAAGCAGCTCAGCAGTCCGTGTAAAACCTTTGTGTTTGTGTGTAGCTCTTCAGGTGCTAAGAAGCAGCTGTCCCATGATATGGTCCGGCCGCTCTCCATTGAGCGACCTGTTGCGGTGCATCCGTGGGTCAGTGCCCAGCTCCGGAACGTCGTCCAGCCTTCTCACCCCTTCATCCAAGATCCTACCATGCCGCCCAATCCAGCCCCCAACCCTCTCACCCAGCTGGAAGAAGCTCGCAGGAGGTTGGAGGAGGAAGAAAAAAGGGCTGGAAAACTCCCCCTTAAACAAAGGTACGGCCATAGTGTCTGACTGTGCGTGGGAGGGAAGGGAGGGACTGCTCTGCAGGTGGGCAGCTGAGGGAGATGTCCACTGCCCTCTGCTCTGGTCTCCAGCTCCCAGCACCAACTGGGTAGAGCCATATACAGAGAGGTCAGAGAAATCTGCCCCAGTCCCTCTAATGTGGTGGTGCAAATGCCGAAACCCACCCTGAGGGCTTGGACTTGTGGTTTGTGCGTGGAGAGGCTGGAGATGCTCTTGGGAGGGTGGGGAAGGGGCTGCTGAGAGCTTGAGAAGGAGCTGGGCAGCGGGAGCGTGTCTAGAAGGGGCATGGCATGGGAAAGCTCTAGCTCTCTGCCCCGGTACTCGCTGACTCTCGGCTCGTTCACACTCACACGAGAATTTCAAAGGTTGGTGCAGGAGCACAATTCGGCAGGATGCAGTAAAATTAAGTGCAGGAGAATATGTATTTGCTCTTTAACTCCACCTCCCACAGGCTTCTGGCAAAGGCTGCTCTTGGCATCTGGATGGGAGCCCTGCGCTGTAGTGCCGCTGCCGCAGCATCAACTCGTGGCACGGCCCTGTCCGAGTCACGGCATCCTTTTGTGACTCGGCTTAGAGCCTGTCGCCGAGCTGATTCTCCTGCGTTGTCTTTCAGGGAAGATTGTTTGCAAGGCACACGGAGCTCTCAGATGAAAACTGTTGTGGAAGTGCTAGATAATGACTGTTAACAGCCAAAAGCACTTTGTCCATTAAAAACCTTTCACAGCTTTATAGTTGTGTTCCGAAAACTTGAAACTTTGGCATCCGACTCTTAGAAACACGAGTGTAATTTAAAAAAGAAGCTCTTTTCATTGCCGAGCTCCAGTTGTTTTTGCTTGCAGTGACCACGGAGCAGACTTCTGTGTCTTTATGTCCGAGCATTGATTGAAAGCCAGGTAATTAGAGGGCCCTCCCAAGTCAGGTTAAGCCCAGTTTGTTTGATCTACCTTTCAGTTGGTGTAACTGGATAGGGCTTATTAGTAGAGTCATTTATAGTTGTACTAAATTCATGCACCTTCCCCAGAGATGTCTAGATGCAGATATGCACTTTGGAAACACTGACCTGGGCTATATGCGTATGCAATTAATACTCTAATAATAATTTGGCGTGCAGTGTAAGTGTAGTTTTTGTAGGAACCGCCTGGCGTCGTGGTGAATGCCGTGCAGAGCAGTGGGAGGACAGGCTGAGCAGTCCCAGCACTGGGCTGCTCTGCTTAACGCTGCCTCCCCACGAGGTCCTGCTCTTCTCCTGGTGATGCAGGGATCCCCCCGACCTGCCCCGTGCTTGGAAAACCAAGGAGCCGTGTTCACCTGTGGGGGAATGCTCATGGAAGACAAATGTGTCCGTGCCCAGTAGCCAGCAGGGGCAGATGCAGTGGTGCCCAGGGAGCCAGGGCTTTCTGTATGGTGAAATCTCTCGGCTGGGTTTTGGCAGGATTGGGTGCTCCAGCTGAAGCAGAGCTGAGCTAGCAGCTTTTTGGAAAGCTCCTGCTGTGGTTAGCACACGAGCCTGCCTGAAAACAGACCCCAAGTCTTTTCTGAGAGAGGCGGCCCAAAACCGGCTGGGGAGCTAAGGAGAAGGAGAGGGGAGTTAATGGGAAAATACCATTGATTTCAGTCAGGAGCTCTGGAGAGCTCTGGGGAACCGGAGCCAGTGCCCAGGTTTGTCAGCAGCCTTGGGGAAGCCAGAGGGCAGGGGAGGTGGGGTGAGCCCAGAGGTGGCCTTCGGGCACCAGCTTGAGCTGGCTGCGGGAGGAGAGCGCACAGTGCCAGCTCCGTACAGCCACGCTGACCTTGCCGGCACGGTTACCCAGCTCACCAGCCGCTCTCCTCCGGCACAGCCCTGGCCAGCAGTGGCCTTGCCCAGCTAACCACCTTCTGCTCTGCTCCCACCAGCACTGCCCCGCTGGAAATAAAGGAGGCACCTGCAGTGTCTGTACCGGCAATCATAAATATTCTTCCAGAAATCACACTTTAGTTGCAGAAAAAGCCTTTCTCTCCCTATTCCGCAGCATCTGGAGGGACGTTGATCTCCAAGATAGAAGTGCAGGATGAGGTGTCCAGTTCTCAATGACCTGCAAGTCCAGTATTTCTGGTTTCTGGCATGTACAGCCAGGTGTTGAACCATTTTCTGTAGCTCAGTGTCACAGTTCACTTACGTTTGCAGCTGGATGAAGTAATGACTACCAGCTCTTCAGAGAAAAGATTTTTGCCAGCAGAGAGAACGTTAGCGGGAGCTTGGTTTGGAATGAATTGGATTGGGCCAAGGCTGGAAGAGGAGCAGAGCCGGCTGCTGGACACCTCCCACCGTAACATCTGGGGTCGTTCCAGGCTGTCCAAAGCCCCCAGCCCCAGGGCCGAGCTGGAGCACGCTGGGTGCCTCACCTCTGTGTTGCAGTGCGGTTGGCTTCGTTGCCCTGTCCTGGCACCACTGGTTCCATGGCTGAAAAACCAGGAGGGGTGGTGAAGTGCAGGTGCGCAGCTGGTTCCTCACCGGGTGATGTTGTATGTGACAAGTGCAGCAAAGGGAGCTGAGCCCGGAGGAGCAGGGTGGTGGTACCTGGCCATGTTTCTGGGTCACACTGCCACCCAGGAGATGGGTGCAGGTGGAAGCTTTAATGAGGCAGAGCTCAGACACGGTCTGGCTCCCTGTTTAGGTAAGCTGTGGTCTCGGGGGATCTCTTGGCAATGACGGAAGCGGAGACAGTTGCATTGTCTTGCTCTCCTGAGGGAAACTCTTGGAAAATTACATTTTCAGTGATTCCTTATTCATCAGCCCCCCTTCAGCCTGCTAGTGACGGATGGCCGCAGCTCGGGACGCGAGCGTACCCTGCTCCTGGCCAGCCCGTCCCGCTGCACAGCCCTGTTCAGCCCCGGAGCTCGGAGACCCGGCAGCCGCCCGCCCCGCTTTGGTTTACGGCAAAACCAGGGGATCCGAACCCACGGGGCTGTTTGTAACTCCAGCTCTGTGAAGCAGTGCAGAGTTTCTGCTTTCGAGCATCATTTTGGGGCCCATCTCTGCGCTGGAAAGAGGCGAGCGCTGGAGCCGGGCTGAGCACGTCAAGGAACGGCCTTTCCGGGCTGAGTTACGCGGCAGGAGCAGGGAGGCTCCCAGCACCGACACGCTCCTCGTCTTGCGCCTGTCATGGCAGAGCTTGGGTGGGATCATCTCCATCTCCCCAGGGGAAGGAGAATGGCAGTCCCGAGGGAACCAGCTTTGCTGCATGCGCAGGGCACGTAGCCATGGCCCTGGGTCCACGGGTGCCAGCTCCGCGGGTGCCAGCTCCCCGGGCACGCAGCAGCTCTCTCTTCGTCACAACTCGTTTCTAGCAGGATTAAGAGAAGCTTAGGGACTTTGAGGTTTTCCAAACCCCTGCAATTAACTTCTGGCTCACAGGGTTCACAGAATTTGCCTGAATTTATGACCCATTTTTCCTTTAAATGCCTCTTTCTTTATTTTTTTTCCCCAAGGATGATTCAATTCCTTAATGTTTTTCTAGCTAAAGGGCATCCTTTGCTTTCATACGGCAATGGGAGAGGCTCCGAGAGCTCTGCTGGCACCAGGAGCGGACCTTTGCCTCTCAGGATGCTGCATCTTCTCCGAAGGTCTCCCAGGTGGAGCAGGCACCAGGAGGGTTGTTCAGTTGACCTTTAGACCTCTCATGCCTTTAGGAAAGGGATGAAAAGATCGTGCCTGGTCTCGGTTTGCCACGCTGATGTTTACGTGGGCATGCCATTAAAAAGGTGCTGTGCCCGCCAGCCAGCGCCGAAAGGTTGGGGTCAGAGTCATTTCCAAAACTGCCATTACCTCATGCTCTTGGCAAATTCTGGGTTTTATAGCAACTTTCCAGTCGTGTAAATACAAAATCATCTTTTTTATCCAGCGTGTTTTTTAACTCGTTCTTTAAAGCTGCCAAATTTGTTTTAATGTGACTTTGAAAGAGAAGAGTGCTGTTGGCTGAGACCACACCTGCCAAGTTACCGGTTTGTGTAGGCTGCTGGGATGTTTGCGCGGCGCTCACGGCACCCCAGATGAAAGGCTCTACAGAAGGGCCAAGTACCCTCATTTTTATTATTGCTACGTTTGTGTGCCTCTGAAAATGGAGTGGGGGCTGGGCTGATGCTTTCGGGGTAGCGGCGGCACCGTGTAGCAGAACCCTGGTGTGTGGGCTGGGAGCAGAGACCAGACCAACATCCCCAGAGTCAGGAAAACACAGGGGATTGGAAGTCCCTGAGGTTTCGGGGACGATGGCTGCCTTGCCACCCTTTGGAGCAAAGGGTGCTCCTGGGGGGCTTAATTCAGCACCCGCGTCCAGGCTCTGCAGCTCCGGGCTGTCGGCCCTGCCCACGCTGCCCGGTGGGCTCACACTCAGCATTGTATTTTTGCCCAGCAGGTTGAAGCCCCAGAAGAGACCAGGCAGCGGCGCGTCCCAGCCCTGCGAGAACATCGTGGTCGCTTACTACTTCTGCGGAGAGCCGATCCCTTACCGCACCCTCGTCAAAGGGCGCGTGGTGACACTGGGACAGTTCAAGGAGCTGCTGACCAAGAAAGGGAACTACAGGTAAGGGCTGCTCCCCACCTGCACCATGGTGCCAGCACACTGTCCCTGACCCCTGGCAGGTGCCGCTGCCAAGACGCAGCGGTGTTGCCCCCTCCAAGGTGAAGGAGCGTGGCGGAGGTAGGTCAGGGGGGCTCCTGGAGCCTTCCAGGAGGGCTCTCACAGGGCATGCTGTGGTGGGCATGTGGCAGCACGGCTAAGGCACCTTGACTGTTGAAGAGGTGGATTACAGGGACGAGGGAGATGGGGGTTTGTATCAGAAGTGTCCGGCATCGTGGTTTGCACCTTCAGCAGAAGCTGCTGAGCTGCCCTGCAGAGTCCTGTGCTGGTGAGGAGCAGCATCAGCCGGTGCTCAATGATGCTGTGGGAAACCCTCCAATTTCCAGAGCTATTTCTGCTCCTCCCAAAGTTTCCTCCAGTGAGGACGTGGAGGTTGGGTCCTGCCGGAATCCCAGAGCAGCCTGGTGTGGGGCCTGTAGCTCTCCAGGTTCCCCCTTCTAAGTAGTTGCTGCCATGGGAAAGCCTGCCTAGATATGCTCCACCAACATAGGTGCCTCCAGCCACTTTTGAGAGAGCTGTGACTGGGCTCAAATTCAGGGCTGGAGCTCCTGAATGTGCCAGCATGGATCCTGACCACCCTTTTTTGCTCAATGTGTGAGGGCAGGGCCAGAAGTGTGGCCTCAGTTGCCTCCACATCAGGGGAGCTGCTCCCCGTGCACCACGAGCTCAGGAGCATGGAAGGGCTGTACCGGGTTTGGGGTCCGTGGTGCCCTCACAACCATTCACCTACTTTTTTTTCCTCTCTGCCCCATGTTTCTGTTTTTTCCAGGTATTACTTCAAGAAAGTGAGTGACGAGTTCGACTGCGGTGTGGTCTTTGAGGAGGTGCGAGAGGATGACACCATCCTGCCCATCTTTGAAGAGAAGATCATCGGGAAGGTGGAAAAGATCGACTGAGCTCCAGGGGCTGCTGAGGCGTGAGGACAGGACTGTGAAAGACTCTGGGACCGGAGGAGAGGGCCTGGGGCGAACGCTGGCGGTGCCACTGCCACGGGCGGAGGGCAGCAGCCTGCTCCGGCACGGCCCCGGGCGAGCTCCGGGTTGCTGGTGGGCGCCG